GGGACTGCGGGGCGGGGGCGGGCGAGCGCTGCGGCTCCACCCTCTGCCCCGGGCAGCGCCACTCTAGGTCCGCCCGCTGGGAACGCTGAGGGGCGGCATGGGCTGGCCCGGGCTGCGGAGGCCGGTTAGGAGACCGCCTGTCCCTGCGGTTCGGTCCCCGTACCCGCTCTGGGAAATCTAAGAGGAACCTGCTAGTTAAAGAGCAGCTGGGGTGCGACGTTGAGAAAATGAAAATGTTTGCCCTCCCTCTCAGCACACCTTTTACATAAATAGAAGTTTGCAACTATTGTATTTGCCTAAAAGGAGGCGCCCCTTAAAAAGCAATGAGCGCGTGCCCCGTGGGCACTAGTCCCTTCCTGAGCGTGCTCCCTGGGGCGACCACCATAGTCTAAGCCCCAGCCTCTGGTGGCCAGGTGGGCGGGCCTCCAGGGATCCGTGGTTGCCCCTAGAAAGCTGGTGCCACTGAGAACCAGCTCCCCCAGCCTCAGCTCGTGAGTTTCCCTTCCCATCTAAGGATCATCTCCTCCTCGTGAACAACTGCTTTTCCACAAATGAAACTTTCAAAGCAATTTGCTGCCCAGTCAGCAGTACCACAGTGGCTTCCATAAGCACTGTCTGCACTGTGTAAATAGTCCTATATAGTACCCAGTATGCCAATGCTGGCCATTCTCCTCTCTATACTTCACAGTACCTCCTGGTGTCACAGGAGTCTTCTCCCTCCTTCTTTCACCTCCCAGGCCCCTACCCTCCCCTATACCAGGTTTCACAGTTGAACTGGAAAATAAAATAAAATGCGGTCTGTCCACATAATAGAATATTATTCAGCCATAAAAATGAATGAAGTACTGATTCATGCTGCAACCGAGATGAACCTTGAAAACAGTAAGCAGTGAAAAAAAAAAAAAAAGCCAGTCAGGAAAGAATGTTGTATGATTCCATTTATAGGAAATGTCCAGAAGAGGCAAATCCATAGAGACAGAAAGCAGATTAGTGATTGCCAGGGGCTGGGGGATGGGCATGGGGAGTGACTGCTAACAGGCAAGGGGTTTCCTTAGGGGGTAATGGAAATGTTCTGGAACTAGATGGAAGTGTGGCAGTTGTACAACACTGTGAATGTAGTAAATGTCACTGAATTGTACACCATTACTGTGATATTTCTGCCAAAGTGCATAACCTCAATTTAATCATGAGAAAACATCAGAACAACCCAAATTGAGAAATATTTCTTACAAGTAATTGACTAGTACTCATCAAGAATGTCAAGGTCATGAAAGACAAAGAATGAACAACTGTCACATTGGAGAAAAGTAAGAGATATAACAACTAAATGGAACACAGGATCCTGATTTGGAACCTGGAACAGAAAGGACATTAGGGGAAATTAGAATAAAGTCTGTAGTTTAGTTAATAGCATCACAATGTGCATATGTTAATTCCCTGATTTTGAGCATTGTACTATGATTGTGTGCAATGTTAACTTAGGGGAAGCTTGGGTGCAAGGTATAGGGGAACTCTAGTATTTTTGCAACTTTAAGTCTAAAATCATTGTAAAATAAAAGTTTAAAAAGTTAATATAGAAATAAATCTTTATTGAGCATCAGCTATGTGCCAGGCACTCTCGCATATTCCATTTTTACAGATGAAGAAACTGAGATTAAGAAGAGTGCATTGTACAAGCCAGTGAGATAATAATAATAAACTTACACTGACTGAATGTGTTGTAAGTGTCAGAAACCACTGGATGCTTTCACTTGTGATCTACCTGGTTCTTACCTCTGAGGTTACTATTGTCCCTATTTTAAAGAGGTAAAACCAGTGATTGAAGGATGACATGCCCAAAGTCATACAAAGGCTAGGAATAGAGTTCAGATTCAAAACCAGATCAGACTCCTGCTGCATGATGCTCTAAACGATGCTGGCACCACCCTCTGTAAGCCTCACAGTGGTCCTTCATACACCCCACTGTCTTCTATGCCCACCAACCCAGCTGGACAGGAAGCCCTTGGAGATGGTGCTCACCATTTAAATTTCCCCCACTTACTGCAACATTGTGCTCCCTTCTTCCTGGTTTCCCTAAATAATCTGAAAGATGGCCTGTCTGCGCTTTTCCTCTCCTCCCCAATCACTTCGGTCCACCTGCCATTTGTGGTAACTTAACATTCGTAAATTAATTAGTCATCAGATTGTTTAGACACCGGTAATGACATACCCAGCCCCCTCCTTCTCTCTTACATGTCTTCAGGAAGCAGTTGGGCTGCATTCCCAGCTGTTGAAACCTATAAACTACCAGAGCCTCCTTGATCTCCAGGTTAGGGTGTGAGTCATTCCATACACCCTTGGGACAACGTGCCTGGCACTGTACATTAGGCCATGGCTGCACAATCATACACCATCTCAGTCTTTAAGGGGCATGTAGTAGATGGGAAAGCTGCTGTGGGAAGGGGATAGATAGGGAAAATAGAATCAATTAGGCTTGGTGACTGTCCTACAAAGGAGATTAATTACTTCTCATAATGCCAAGACCTGGAGAGGAGTCAAGACAGAATCCTGGGTCCCTTCTCCTTGATCCCCAGGAAGCAAAAAGGTGCCTGAAATCCAGCAGATATGGGACAGATGTAATGGCTTTCTCCAACCATCCAACCCAGGCTGCTGCCAGATCTGCAGGGTTTTCTCTCCAACTATGATATGCATAGAACTTCCACCAGATATAGCATGAATTAGAATGTGTTCATACAAACTCAAAAAGCCTTGCTGGCCTCATCATTTCATTCTTGCCCTCCCTCACATGAAGTTTCACCCGATCAGGGAGGGCCTTAGCTCCAAGTTAGACGAAGTCTCTCAGGGTGACAACCATTATTGGCTTTGAGATAAGTAGACTGGAAACCACCTGCTCCCCCTCCCCCACTGTTAAGTTACACAAAAGCACAAAGGGACTAGGGTATAAATGCATGAGGACACAGATAATCACCGTGTAAATCATAATACAAATATCTTGAGTTTGTGAAATACTTTACAGTTTGCAAGAGGCTTGCACCTATACTCCTTCCTTTGATTCTCACAACAGGTGAGTCCTGGAGGTCACAGCCATCTCATGACAGAAGTGCTCTAGAATTCCAGGCCTCCCAGTCCGCTATTCTCTCTGCTCCACCCTGATAATAATTACTACCACTATAGTCATTTCCTCTGGTTTTGGCATTTCTTGTTTATTATTTCATTTGATCCTCTACTACACTTTGAAGAAACCAAGGGTTAGCCAACAAATACTAGAGGAAAGATTTTAAGCCAGATGAGTCCCCAAACACCACTTTCTAACTCAGCTCTATCCAATTTACTCCTATTCTACCCAGTCCCTCCCACTCATTTGTACTGGGTCCCTGTGCAGCCAAGCCACAGGCTGGCCAGGGTCAGGCTCCCAGGCCAGGGCAAGGCTGGTCTTGTTCCCTGAACCCCATATTCATGATTAAGGGATGCGTTAGTTCCCTGTTGCTGCTATAACAATTTCCACAAATTTGGTGGCTTAAGACAACAGAAATGTATTATCTCACAGTTCTGGAGGCCAAAAGTCCAAGATCAAGGTATCACCTGGGCCATGCTCTGGAGGTTCTAGGGGAGGATCCTTCCTTGTCTCTTCCAGCTTCTGAGGGCTCTAGCAGTCACTGGCTTAGGAGCTGCATAGCTCCTTTTAGGGGTACACTATTCAACCCGCTACAGAAAGGAGGCAGATTTAGGCCTGCGGTGTCACCCTGTTCTTCAGTGGGGACAGGGGTGTGGTGCTAGGTGCTCCTGCAACAACCCTAGAAAAGGACAGTAAGCAAGTGGTGGGGCCAAGGCTAGGCAGCCCGTCATCCAGGAATCAGGAAACAGGGCCAGCCTGCTGGTTCCCAGGGCAGCGAGTAAGCACAGTGCCAGCCTGGCCAAGGCAGAATCAGTGATTCCTGAAATTCAGGGAGATTAGGAAAGAACACTAATCCTAAAGGGCCAGAACAGTGTTGCCAGGACAGCCTAAAATCGCATTCCTGGGCTGCTCTAAGTATCCCAAGAAGGCGGGAGTTGTGTAAATCATCTCGCTACAGCCAGGCCACCGTGCCCTGTTGGGAGCTAACCTCGTTTGACTCCACAGCCCAGAGCTGGGCTTCCTCCTGAATCCTTATCAGTTGAGCCTGTGGTCACAGTGCCGTTTGCAGGAGGTATGGCTCCATTAGTGCCCAGCCAAGAATGGTGGTCATGCAGGAGTGCCCTGGCTGCCAGGATGGGGACATGACCGGTCTCCTTCCTCACTCGCTCAAGCTGGAGTTCAGAGACACCAGGCGACGTGCAATTCTGGACTTCAGCTATATTCAACAAACCTTCTACCTGGCCCCCAACA